GACTAGTTCCAGGAACATTTCTGATCTAGCTTGGGATGATTTTTGAACTTCTAACTGACCATTTCGGGGTCGTTTCAAGACTTATGTGAGATCCCTTCGGGAAAATTTCACGACTTTTTCAGATTCAATCATATTTAATATTTAATTCCTAGCTTGACTTATTTATGAATGTAACTAAATCGCCTAATGCTTTGGCAAGCCGACACAGATGCTTGCATATCAAATTTCGTGAGTACTGATACTCACGCTTTTTTTTAGAAGCTGTATGCAAACTCATTGAATTTTCCTGAGTTTTTCAAAAAGTTTAGAAATCTTATTGTTTTTTTTTTGTTGTAGTATGAACTACATATGTATGTAAATATAAAAAAATAGCAAAAAGAAATTAAAACAAAAAACTTTGCTAACATTAAAAAAAAATTCTTTGTACCAGGACTTTTCTGGTTCACTGTATGTATTTATACGAACGATCGTGTCAATGAATAGTGCTTTCTTAAAAACAAGAAATAATCCGATTGACAGGTTGTTTCTAAATAACTGTTCGTTTAATTTATTGAATTTAGTTGATTGATTGTTTGCTTTGAAATGCGATTTTTTCAGTTTGGCTATTCCCAGTATATATTCGCAACTTGATTAGCCATTCATGTAAAATGATGTTATCTTTTCGTTATATCATATCATTAAAAATATTTGTTTAGTTAAATAATTTCGAGACTAAGTTGTTGAGCCATAGTTAACTTTCTTGTCGCTTTTCGCTATAATATCCAAGCTTTTGCTATTGAGAAACAAGACTTCCTGCATTGTTTGTCGAACCGTTTACTCCGTATTGTATCACTCTTAAATTAAGCATGGGTATGACTGACCTACTAAGTTCGTTGACTGCATCCACGATTTTCATTGTATTAGACCTCCGTTCTTTCCCTGAGACGTTGTGAAAAATCTCGTTCTTTTATTTTTATACAGCTCCATACTTAATCGCTTGTATGTAAAGTGCCTATGTACTTCCGATCTTTTTCTATAACATAAAACGATCAATTACGAGCATTTTGTCAGTTTATCTCAGGAGTCAGAGTATCTGCGGATTTTGGATCCGAATAAAAAAATTTTGATGATGGGGAGCAGAGCCCTTTTGGGGTTTGTTTACAGCCAAGGTTTTTGCATAGTTTTAGCTGTCACTCTCAAATTGCAGCCAGAGTAGATTTTCAAGATGGCGATTAATTCACCATATGAGCCTCGCATATCGAACTTTAGCTATGTACGATGCGACGAACCTTACAATAAGTATATATAAAGAATTAGACACCATGTAAAAATTTCCAGATAAAAAGGATTCTCGGGCCTATGCGAATAGACTAGCGGCGTCCACACAGTCTTTTGCAAGTCATGTTCTTCTGTGGCAATTTAGTCATATTATTATTAGGGTGGTCGAAAACTACACAGCAAAATCAACTTTTTGGAATTTTCTCACTGGCACCCCAAGAACTGAATGCGTAATGTTGTTACAAGTAGATGAAATAACACATTTTTGTATAAATAACAGGAACTGAGAACACGTTCCAGTTTTGGTTTAGATCTGCATGAGTTCGGGAACCTTTCCGTAAAGAACAAAATGGAAACAAAACTTTCGGGAACGTTGGCATGAAGAACCGAATGAGATCGAAACTTTCGAGAAAGTTCTTAAGAAGAACAAAATGAGAACGAAAGTGTCGAGATGGTTTTCAAAAAGACCAATTAAGAACAAAAGTGTGGAGAACGTTCAGATCGTTTATCATTAGAGTGAACTATCCATTTATGGAACAATTTTTCATTTTCTGTGCAAGACCAGTTGGTGTCTTAAGTCTTTCGTTGACTTTATTTGCATAATTATCTTTTAGTGCTTTTTTAATAAAATTTTCATATTCAAATATTTCAAACTAATGGAACGCTATGAGAAAAATGTTGTTATCGCGTTCTTCAGATAGTTCCTGAGACTTTAGTTCGCAAATTGCTCTACCAGAGAAAGTTACTAAGACTTCTGCTCCTGTGTTGTTCTTTGCCAGAATGTTATGGAGACTTCTGTTTCGATTCTGTTCCCTTAGAAACGTCCCCGAAAGTATTGTTGGTATTTCGTTTTCTTTGGAATTTTCCCCAGGGTTTTGCCATTACATAATTCCGGTTGATAACATTCTCGGCAGTTTTTTTCTCACTTTTGTTCTTGTGAAAACATTCCCGAAGATTTTGTTTTCATTTCGATTTTAGCTTCTAAGCTTCTTTTAAGCTTCTTGGGAACAAAACTACGAGAACGGCATTTAATTTCGATTATACCTCTCTTCTCGGCTGCTGATAAATAAGATTGTCGGTAATGAAAAGGTATTTAGTAATATTTGTAAAAGTATGCATCGTAAAAGAAATAATGATGAAGAAAAAAAAGGAGCATGCGAATAACACGAAAAATGTATGGGGAATCAGGCTCGAATCGATTTCATTATGGCGATGCTTTTGAATGAATTTTCGTGTGGCAATTACGGCGGCTACTCTACTTCGTTAATACGTAGTCATGGCTGAGCTCTTTGGGGCCTCGTAATGATATAAAAACTGAATACAATCAAACGATAAAGCAGAACACAAATGTCACAATTCATTTCCTATTGTTGCTACAATTACAAAAATATGATACCTTGGATATTAAATATATTTTAAGCAGTGGTGGACTAATGATTGCAGAAATCTTAATTAAAAGTTTCTTGCTACTACGTCAGCATTTCATTCTTTCCATCTCCCAATCATGGATCTCTTGCAATTCATTCAACAATTAATTAAAAAAACATTAAGTACAGAAAAGTAAAACTGCAGCAGCCAAAAAATGTACGTAGTATTCAACAAAGAAAATCAACTAAAGCGGCTCACATAAAATGCAAATACAAACTAATTATTTTCTATTACATAGATCGCGCTAATCTTTTGTTTTCTTCTTCACTTTTCTTATATGTATTTCTCACTTAATTTTTTTTTTCATTTCTTTTTCCCCACTTTCAAGTTGGCAAAAAACTGCAATGCAACGTTGTAGCGGTAACCTTAAAAAAAATCTTCGCAACGCGTTTGATGTGCGCCTAAATAAATAGCAGATCGGTCGCAATCAGTACATTGAGCGGAAAATTAAGTGTGTATGCACATATGTACTTATAAATTATAAAAGTGCGATTTATTGACGAGATATCTGCATATGTATGTACAAGTGATATTTTATTTTTATGTATTTAATTATGTCTATCTATTATAGAGCCCATCATTCCATCTTTATCATCGGTACCCTTTATCCGTCGTCCTCGCCTTCAGGCCCATAGATCTGAGTAAAATTATTCTCTCAAAGTCTTCCCTTTTTGGTAGTTAGTAAACCTTGGGGAACATTCCGAAATTTACTGACCATCGCAAGGGCCATTTGAGTATCTTAAAATCATTCATAAAAGACCTAGTTGTTAACTTCACAGACGCAGTGCTTCCGAATTTATTCTTTCTTAAGCTCCACAAGGTTATATGTAATTCCGGAAAAAACGCTTGTAAAGCGAAATTCAAAAGATCAGCAAAGTATGCCAAGATTCGTACATTTATGTATGTATATAAAATTGATGATTAAAACACGGGAGCCGGCATATTTGGACCTGTGTTTCGGTAGGCACAAACTCGACCATATTTCAGGCGAAAACTTTTGCAACATAAATCGTAGCAGAACAAATGTTCCCACTCTAAACAGCATGTCTGACAGTCAGACAGCAATAACAGGCTTGGAATCGTGTTAAAAGGTATCAAGGCAGGTAGACACTTACAAATGTGGACTGGGAAACTAGGAGCGCGTAATGAGAGCTTTGGTCCAACGAAAGGACCGATCTTCTTGCAAAATGCGCAGCCAAACAGGCAATGGTTATTAGGTACATACCATTCTACACGAAACCCCATACACGAACTGCAGGTTTTTGTGGGCTGACGGAGAAAGTGGCACGAATAAGTAATCTTAGACTAACACATCTTGAAGATCGAATATCCTCTCCATACAGAATCTAGAACGTGATAACTCTCCAAACACAAGAGTTAGCATAGCCAGGTCGAAGCACTGGTAAGTCCTAATAACAATAACAATAATAGTCGTCAATTTTCTGTGCCATATAGAACCGGAAAGAGCGATTTGTAGAGGATTATTTTCATTCGTCGATAGAAGGCTCGGCTCAAAGTACTTAGCCCATGGATGCTATTGTACAAAGTCTTTCATTACTTCAAAGTTATAACTGACAAACTTGTGACGTGTACCCAAATATGCGCAGACTCTATGTTGCCCTTGATTACCGCCAGACCAACGACTTTTACACCCTTTTTCTAAGCTGGAAAATACAACACTTACGGTCTACGCTTAGCCTTTGATATCAATGTACTTCGGTGATTGAAATTGGTATCTCAAAAGATACCATCTTTAAGAAGCCGCACGGCCACGAGTCGCCTTCTCTTAGGTCTCGAACAGAGCATAGAGGCCTTTACCTATTTCAACTAAGTTAAAAGTTGTGCTCGACGTCACTCTGCATAGCCGCGCCAGTTTGGCGGTGATCCTAAGCTGAGCAAAAATTCCTAGAAATCAATTCGTTTAATTTCTTTTTCTCACAGTGTACTTTCAGCTTTCTGATTCATTGGTAATTTCATGCAATTCGCACGCCACCTCACAACATACCGCGCGCCTCCGCGCCGCTCCGCTCATTGTTTCATCACATAAGTGCTTTGCGTTGTTGCTATTGTTTTTGTTTTTCATCGCTCTATTAGATAACCGTTTTGCAGTGTAACGTTAAAGGAAAAAATTTTACATCTTTTTAGAATTTATGACGAGTTAATTTGCACTATTTTCCTACTACCTGAGAGCGACAGGTGTGCCCGCCCCTCCATACACTCACATATACACACGCACACATACTCTAACACACGTACGCACACACAATATAGATAACTGCAACTTTGCACTGCAGCCTTTGTGGCGGTGAACTCACCTTGAGCAGACTTTTTGGTGGCGCATCCGCTGGATCTGGACGTTTTATATTCAAAAATGAGTTGCGTACATCCGGACACTTCTCGAACATAAGCACGCGCTCTGCAACTGAGCCACGCGTCAAAATCGGTCGACCGACTAGGGGTTGAGCAAAGAAATATAATTGTTTGTTAAAACCAAATTCTCAATTCACAATTTTTTCAAAGGCTTTTTATTTTCTTTGTTGCTTTACCATATTTATCCTGCCCATTGGTCAACGGACGCCCGGTTTTGGTAAACTTCGAAGGTGTTGTTGTTGTTGTTGCTCCGCTTGCTGTTGCAGGCATGGCTTCCATACCGTTCGCACCCGTGGCGCCACCAATAGCTGTAGTGCCTGCTGCTCCTCCGCCCGCGCCTGCGGTTGCTGCTCCTGCTCCGTTGCTGTTAGCCGTTTTGTTATCTTTTTTTGAGCCTGACTTGCTGCCACTTCGAATGTGATTTGTATGATTGTTGGTGTTGCTAATTTTATTGTTGTTGTTGTTGTTGTTACTGTCGTTCTTATCGTCCTTAAGGGTAGGCGCTTTAATTGCTTTGCTTCCACTGCTGCCACTGACAGTTGCTGTCCGCGTGCCACCCGAATTCTTTATCGTCGATGTGGGTGCACTTTTTTCGCCACCGCTGCCGCCGCTTTCTTTGCCCGATTGCTTATAGTCACTGACACTGATGGCACTTTGATTCGATTGATTATCAGGCGGCGCTGATTTCGAATTGCTCAATTTTGCGGTTGCTGCGCTCCGTTTGGTGCTCGTTACTTGCGCAGTGGACCCCGCACTACCGGCGCTACTATTTTTGTCAACGTTACTACTTGCAACAACAGCAATGGCGCCATTGTCAATGCCGCCGACCGCGCCGCCACTGCCACCACTTGTGATAGCCGCTTTATTGACACTTGCTCCGCCGCTGTTGTCAGCGGCAGCCCCTACCATCACCACCTCACTCTTGCCGCCAATTTTCGCGCTCTTGGCCGTCAACTCGGCACGGCGTTGATAGTGATTCGCATTATTTGCCACGACATCCGCGCCGGATGCTGCGGCACTATTAGGTGAGTTGGCGGTTTTCGACTGTTTGCTGCTGCTATTCGCCGCTGCTCCCTTGCTTGCAGCTGTCGGCGTTGTCGGTACATTTTCCTGCAGCAGCTCCTTAATTTTGCGCAGGTTTTGCGTCTGCAGCTCTGATAAGTCCGACAGATCGAGATTCAAGTCAACCGTTAAATTTATATCCAACGGCGGGGAATTGGAAACATGTGGTTTGCTGCGTCCAATAGTGGTGGTGGTTGTGTTTGCTGTTGTGGCATTTGTGGCAGCGCTCGAACTCGAAACTCGCGACTTAGACGTCGTTGAACTGCCAGCGCTAATGATTGAGTGTTGTGGTTGTTTTTCATGCTTGTGAGCGAGCGAAGACTTGGAAGACGGCGTTGCCCCTGCACTGGAAGACGTTGCGCCACTCGCTTTACCATTGGATTTTGTCGTCTTTTTTTTTAGCGTATCGACAACATCGACGCCTGGCGTATCAACTGCTTTCATTAATATCGCCGACGACGTGGCTGTCGTGGGCGACTTCTGTGCGGTAGGACTTCTTTTGCTTGTTGTCGACGTTGTTGACGTTGACGACTGTTTTAATTTTCCAACCATATTGCCACCGTCTATATTAGGCTCGAGCGTATTCACAAGTAAACCGCTGCCGGTGCTGCCCGCTCCCACAATGCTGCCAACTCCTCCAACACCAATAACGCCTGCGCCCACTACTCCACTTCCCAGTCTGCCCGTGCCAGTGCTGCCGCCGGTACCCGCTTTGCCGGCGCGTTGTTCCTTATCCCGTAGCACAAATGTGTTTACCAACTTCTGCAGTCCCTCTGCTGTTTGTTCGTCAGCAACCGCAAATAGATCGCCTGTGTCACTTACGTTGTCGGTCGCTGCCGCTGCAGCTGCCGCATGCGTATAGAAACCAAGCAATTCGGTGGGTGCTAATCCACGACTCTTCCACGTATGATATAGCGCGTCCGCGTGCTCGGAAATCTTTTTGGAGATCTCCTCGATCTCACGTGTGGGGTCGTCAAGCACGACGTTAGATTTGCTGGAACCACCAACTATGGCTTGTTGTTGGTGGTGGTGGTGCTGCTGCTGTTGCAGGGTTGGCTGATATAGCGGGGTTGCAACAAAAGTTTTGTTTCTCAACTGGTGTGTTGTTATTTTCGATTTATTAGTGGTCGTAATGGAGGCGGTTGAAGGTTTGGTGGCGGCGTTCGGGGGCGCTGCTTGCATATTTGCCCGCTACGTGTAGACTGCGGCTGAAAATTGGCAATAAAATGCCGCCCCTATCGTGCGCTTTTCAGTATTTATTTTTTTCGCCACTTTATTCTCTACTCTTTTGCCATTAAATTTTAGCCAGAAAGTAATTACAAACTTAAATACGTCCCACCTTCATACACGCTACACACACTCTAAACTCACAGTGTAGGCCACACGTCGCGCAACACGGAAAAACTCACAAATACTTGATTGCGGAATAAATAGCGAAACGTTGCGAAATTTTACGGTATCGAGACCACGATTCCCACAGTACAGCACAGAGCACAGGGATTGCTGCCGCTATGTTGTTGCTCGTTTGTGTTTTCCCTTTGGCCGCGCGGCGCCTGCTTCATATTTTCCCGTCGACGTAGTGACGACAACGACGGCCACGACGATCACGAAGACAGCAACGACGACGGTAGCAACGTTTCTGGCTTTGGTGAAGATGCAAAAATTACAGCCACCTCGTTGTGTAGTAGACAGCCACAAAGGCTAAGCGTAGTGCGTCAGCGCTAGCTAGCGGCTTTGCTGTTGGCTCTGTCGAAATGACGAAGAGAAAGCGAGCACAACGCGGCGTCACAGACGCTCTAAATTTTTTCCCAAACGCTTTACGTCGGCGCTACTCTGCTGGTAGCTAGTGCTGCTTCTTCTTTTAAGTCTTTTTTTCTTCTTTCCTTCTAGAAATCTTCCTCTGTTTTTGTGTGTTTCGATCCTCTAGCCGCTTGCCTCGGTGCTGAGTGTGCTATGAATGCGCTCTGCTTTGCCTGCTGTGTTGCGATGGTCTGTGCGCTGTGTGTTGTGTGCGGTGTGATGCTCTGTATTGCGAACGATGGCGCATCTATTTTTAAACACTGATTTGCCTATTTTGTAGACGTTTTTGTACTAATTCCACTTTAGCTCGCATGTGTACGCAGTATTCGTAATCTATGCGAATCGCTTAAATTAACTTAGCTTCAATTGATTTTTGCTGCTATTTTACGCACTGCGATCGCTTTAATAAATACACATTTTTTTACAATAAATTATTGTATTTCACTTAAAGCATACACAGCAATTTACTCGCCCACTTCCGTTCTAGTCAACACCTTTGTGTGTTTGACCAGTTTTCCAACACATTTTTTTTTTTATTTTTTTTTCAGTATCCCAAATGGGAAACACGCGCTAAATATGTATATTCAACCGCTGCTAATAATTTTATGGCTTTACTTTGTTAACCTATTTGAAGCTACACTCTTCCGTGAAAATTTTTCAATTTTCTTTCCGCAAATATTTTTCCGAGTACTCGCACACGCTCCGCGAACGCACGAACTGAATAGATTCTCCGCGCTGAAGCAACGTTCGGGGTTGTACTAGTATGACGATCGGGCGGCGGCTGGCTGTAACAACAAACAGTGAGTGTCCGCCTGAGTGTGTCGACAATTTTCCAAATCGCAGGCACAAATTATAGCTGAGTGTGGGAGTATGCTTGCTGACTGACTGGCTGGCTGATGGGCTGAGAAAGATATTAGAACGCTGATCTTGTTATGAATCAGATGCTAATGGTGATCGCATTTGTAGAAGCGGAAATGAAACAAACGAAATTTAAACCCTAATTTTGTTTTGTATTTGAATATTCATTAAATAAATCATGGATTTTCAATGATCGCTCATGATCTGCATACATTTTCAGACCCAAAAAAAAATTTTTTTCCTTGAGTTAGTTATTTAGGAATATGCTCCAGCTCTCAATATTACCGAAAGTCTGTAGAGCACCCGACATATGTCTAATTTTTTTTCCTTCAAACACTTTTTTTGCATGCACTATATTGAAATCTCACTGCTCGTGTTTGCTTCTCTAACAACTCTCAACGAGCGTAGCGCTCGGCGTTTCCAAGTCTCATCTCTTGCCGGAAAAATCGGTCAAAACGAGTACTCAAACGAAAATATAAAATTGCTGAAAATTTATTTCAAAAATTAGCATTTCTCTATTCGTTCAAGATCCATAGATCACCTCTCGTACACTCTGTTCTGTCTGGCACGCTACTTTTTCAATACGCGCACTCTTTGCTCTCCCCATATCTCAGCACAATTGTGTATATGTAGCAAGAAAGCAAGCAAGCAGTAAAAATTGTATCTTGGGTTGTCTGGCAAAGTGCATGCATTTCCCCCTCTCCGGGATAATTTTCTTTGTTTATCCGCCTTTTGACTTACTTGCAAGCAGGGTTGCCACTTTGGTTAATTGTTACCAAAATTGGTAGAAAAAATTTGGGTTGGTTAAAAGGTAAATTTTTTTCTCATTTTGGTAAATTTTTGTTCAACTTTTCGTTCGTGCTTTATTTTTTGTAGTTATCTTTATATTACAAATTTTTTTCCAAAAGTGTAGTCTATTTTATTGCATTGATTTTCGAATGATTTTTATATTCATAGTATAAATGTATATCGATATAAGGCGAACATATCGTCCTCCATTCAAACCTCATTTTACTGGAAAGGGGAGAAGCTTTTAATTGCCTAAATATTTAATGCTTATTATTATAGTTTTATGCAATTGCGCACTAGGGTTGTTCACAAAAAAAAATTAAATCAACGCCATTTTTTTATCAATGGCAATTGTTAAATGATAAAAACCGCAAAAGACTGGCGGCCAAAAAAAAAAACGGGTATTTTTAGTTGCACATTGTTGTTTATGATCAAATAAAATTCCGTACATTAATTGTTCTAAAAATTCGTAGTAAAAAGTTCGAAATTCAGACAATTTTTTTTTTAATTCTCTAAATGTTGTATGTAGCTGGAATCCTTGATTTTTATGGATTTGGGTAAAGCCCAAACAATGTTTTTATACAAAAAAAAAAAAACAATTTTTACTTGCAAAACATTGTAACTATTCAAAAAAAAATCACTAACTCCAGTTCAAGTTTTTTCAAATGATGAAGGTTCGTTGTTTCCTTTAGTTTCATCACTTTCGCTTTTGTTTAAAGGAAACTCCGAATATGCCGTTAATATGATCTCAAATGCCGTATAACTAGTTGAATAACACGTTCCTAAGAAACAATTTTAATTCTTATTAAAATAACTAAAAAAATTACAAAACTATAGTTTTTATTAAAAAAAATATATTGGCAGCTACTTTCCAGCTTTGGTAGATTTTTTTCAAGTGGATGGTAAGTATTTTTTTGTCGTCAGTGGCAACCCTGCCTGCAAGTTATAATACATATTTTGTGTCAATTTTCTGTTTGTTTTTTTTTTCTCATGCAATGCATTCAATCACACTTGCGTCTTCTTAGCGCATCTATCAATGACGAGTTTTCTTTTTTTGTTTTTTTTTGTTAGGAAAAGGGGTTCGGCCACACTCATTTGCCTCTTCGATGTAGTAAAATAATGGCTTTTAAATGAGTTTTCTTTGTTCAATCTTTTGGCTTTTGTCATGTTCATTGGCATACGTTGTTGCTCTGCTTTTATTTTGAGAAACATAAATGGCGATTAGGAAAATGCATACTTTATCTTACATAGCAGGTGTTTCGTTTGGAGAACTACTATACTACACTCTATTCAATAAGAGGCTACGGTGCGTGTCCAGCACTAGATAAACAATAAATTAAGCAATAAACAAAGAGCAGCTGGTGCAGGTGCTACAAGAGCAATTAAGTTGTGTCCTTCCGCTGCGCTTAATGTGATCCTGCATAAGCTGCCTATCGTCAGGTCGGTTCCCTTAGTTCCCAAACCTTCCCCCCACATTTTTCGTAATAAGTGATTTCTTATAGAGCCTTTCCACCGAACAATTGAATACAGCCTAGCATTTTGTTAGATTTTAAAATGTTATCGCATTCACTGTCTGTATTGTAAGGCGATCTTAAAGTTCGTTTTTATACCAGAGCGTACTTATAGGCTTCCCTTTACCCAATACCGACCGAAAATAGCCGAAATCGGACCATAACCACGCCCACTTCCCATATAATGGTGTTTTCGAAAAATGCATGAACTAGTATGTGACGTAGAATTTTCTTAAAAAACAATATTGTTGTGAAAGTTTTGGAAAATTGGCGTAACCCCGCCCACTTATGATGAAATGCTGTATCTCAGTAGCGGCTTCACTAACTGCCACCAAACTAGGTGCGAACATTGCTTAGAGTCTCACAAAAAAATTGTAAACTTCGATAAATCAGTGTCTACTGAAGCTTCTTCACTCAAGCTCACAATGTTTACAATAATCTTATACAGCCAATTTCACGAAAGCAATTTAACCGGCCGTCTTCACGTGCTGGAAAATCTCGTTTGCGTGACAGCCAGCAGCCAGTGAAATTGCATCTCTATCAGCTGTTTATTTAAATATTTTTCGTTTACAATAGGCTTTTTGTGAAGGACTGCCAAACAAATGGCATCAAACTTCAAGCATTTTAAATCTACTTTTAATCAAAAAACTTTAAAGATATGTAACTCTTTGAGCTCATTTTTTAATTAATACAGGACCCGAATTACGGCATCCGTGATGGAATCAAATTCGAATCGAAAATCTTTTTGAGATGATCTCAATGAAATTACGGCATTTGATAAGGAGCTCGCTTTTTCAATTTAAAGTGTATGTGGGAGAAAAAAACGGTAATTTTATTTAATTCGATTCGAATCGAGTACATATATGTACATATGTATGTGTAAAAATAAATGCACATACATATATCACATTTATGTACATTACATAAAACACTTTTTTATATGGTGCTAAGCACGAAATATTTAGGAACTTAAAATTTCATTTCGTTTTGTACTAAAATACACGCGTTTGCACTCAATGCATAAGAACTTATATGCTAGGTATGCTTGTATATACGTATAGTGGTCCACAAAATAAAAGAATTGCGATATTTTGAGCGGTTTTGGCTTTGGGCATTTGTCTTTTGTTTATTTAATGTTTATTATTTTTTTTTTTATAAAAGTCTAGCTGGTATACAACAAACACCATATAAATTCACATTTCAAACTTTGTACAAAAATTAGAAAAAATCTGCTTATTTTCACCAAAATTTCAAACTTTTTAATCAAAATTTTGGTATGCAGTTTTGTATACCATTTAATTCTGGTATAATAAATGGCAAGCTGCAAGCTGCTATAAAATCCCATTAATTTTTATAATTTTTTTTTGCTGCCACACATATTAAATATATTTTTCTAACATACTTTTGTGTGGAAAAAACGTGAAAAACCTTCAACCAAAAAAAAAAAACAAAATAATTTTTTCCGAGCTGTCTGCAAATCTTTTTTGGTGTTGGCTGTTGTCTGTCGCTTCACCTGGACATATGAAAAAAAATTCCAAAGAATCGGCAAAAAAAAGGACGATGCCGATGCCGACGCTCAATTTTGTGCCGATACTAGCCGATGCTGATCGGTCGCACGCTATTTTGTCCTCCACTTTACTTTCCAAATTTTGAAAGTTTTTTTCAGGGCTCCGATATTTTTTAGATTTTTCAGATTCTTTAGGCTCGTTAAAGTATTTTTTAGGGACTCTTTATAATAACTCGAGACATTTCTGCAAAATCACAAACGTCTAAATTTTTTTCAAATTTATTAATAAATAAAATAAAAA